TCCAGCATCATCTTTTTTTTTTATATGAATTGATTTTTCAACTGAATTAGGCCTGATTTTTTTATGAAGTCTAGTGAAAGTTAGAGACAGGCCCTCCCTTGTGGTGCAACAGGTTAGGATGCAGCACTGCAAGATGGCTGCCGCCACTTCAGTGTGAGTTCGATCCCCAGCCCCAGAGGCGATCCACATGGCGCTACAGACCTCTCCTGACCCGCCCGCTGCTCCCTTTAGCAGTGTGACTTCATCGATCTGCCTGTTCTGGTCCCCACTCTGTCTCTGGTGAATCCTCTCGCTGCCTCTGCACCTCTGGCTTGTACCCCAGTTCTGTATGCATAAATATATAAATCTTAAAAAAAAGAAAATAATCTAGAAATAAAACAATATTAAAAAAGATAGAAACAGATACTAAATTATTAGTAAGGTTCTAATATATCAAGAAGAAATAATATTCAAATAAATATACACCAAAAAATGGAGCACTAAAATATAGAAAATAACAATGGAGCTAAAGAAAGATATTGGTAATAGTACATACTACTGAGGGACTTTAATATCCTATTTACAACAATGAACAGGTCACCAAGACAAAGCATAAATAAGCAATTGCTTAAATGAAGAGTTGAGCAAATATCTAACTTAACCTCTACAGAAAATGTCATCCAAAAACCTCTGAAAACACATTTTCCCCAAGTATATAGTCTGCTTTAAAAATAGACTACTTCTTGGGACATATATCTATTCAGTAAAACTACAAAAACAGAAATTATATCTATTACTATTTCTGACCATAATGTCCTACAATTGCAAATCAACTATAAGGAATAAAACAGGAAAAACTGTGAGCATATGGATACTAAACAACATGTTGCTTAAGAGCAATTGGATAAAAAAATAAAATCAAGCCAGATATAAAAAATACCTTGAGGGATATCCTTAGTGGCGTTAACAGATTAAAGCACCGCATTATGAAGCTCTCTGAAGCCACTGCATCATGAGTTCTATCCCTGGCCAAGGAGCTGACCCACAAGGCACGGCAGACTTCTTCTGACCTGCCCGCGGCTCCCCTCAGCAGTGTACTTCCTCAGTCTGCCTGTTCTGCTCCCCACTCTGTCTCTGGTGAATCCTCTCACCTACCACACCTCTGGCCTATATCCTAGTTCTGTAAGCATAAATAAATAAACCTTTAAAAATACCTTGAGACTAATGAAAATGAAGATACAAGTACCAGAATCTATAGAATGTGGCAAAAGTGGTCTAAAAGGGCCCTCCCTGGTGGCATAGCAGGTTAAAGCACAGCCCTGGGGGGGCTGAGGCCACTTCCACATGAGTTCGATTCCTGCCTGCCCCAGAGGTGACCACATGGCGGGCAGACCTCTCCTGACCTGCCTGCTGTTCCCCTCAGCAGTGTACTTCATCGATCTGCCTGTTCTGCTCCCCACTCTGTCTCTGATGAATCCTCTCACAGCCCCTGAGCCTTGTACACTAGTTCTGTATTCACAAATAAATAAATCTAAAAAAAAAAAAAGGGTTCTAAAGGGGTGAGATATTTGCAATATAGGCCACATTAAAAGCAAGAAAAATCACAAATAAATCCATACCTAACAGAACTTGAAAAAGAGGAATGAATAAGACCCAAAGTTAGTTGAAGGAAGAAAATAATAAGAAGAGAACAAGTAAATTAAATAGATCAAAAAGACTACACACACACAAAATCAATGGTTCTTTGAGAGGTAAACAAAATAGATAAAGTTCAAGTTATTCTAACAAAAGAAGAGATAAACATTAATAAAATCACAAATGAAAAGTCACCACAGGTAGTGCAATAATACAAAAGGTCATAAGAGAGTACTATGAACAACAGTGTATCAAAAAAATTCAATAAATTTGAAGAAATGGACAGATTTCTAGAACATTATATCCTACCAAGACCAACCCAGATAGAAGTAGATGAATTGGGAAAAAACCAACCAAACAAACAAAAAAACACTATTCTAAGTATGGAGAAATTAAAGTAGTAATAAAAACATCTTCCCCCCCCCCAAAAAAAAAAACAACCTAAGATCATGTAGCTTTACAATGGATTTTTTCCAAACCCTCCAAGGTCAAGCCCATCTTGCTCAAATTGTTTTTTTTTTTTAATATTTATTTTTATTTATTTATGCATATAAGAGCTGGGGGTAGGTCAGAGGTGCAGGGGATGAGAGGATTCACAAGAGACTAAGTGGGGAGTAGAACAGGTGGATTTACTGAAACATATTGCTGAAGGGAGCAGTGGGCTAGAGAGGAGAGGTCTGCTGTGCCATGTGGGTCAGCTCCCTGGTGGGGGAGCTTGATAATGCTGAGACTTTTAGCCCCTGTGCCACCAGAGAGGCCTTGCTCCAGTTGTTTTTAAAAACAAATGAATGAATGTTTCCTGATAAATTTTAAAATGTGAGCATTATTTTAATATCAAAACCAGGCAAATATAGCACAAAAAAAATATAGACCAATATACCTGATGAACATTGTTGCAAAAACTTCAATTGAACACTGGCAAATTGACAAGTATATGACAAGGACTATACACCACCATCGAGTGGAATTCATCCCAGGGATGTAAGGGTGGTGTAACATCTGTAAATAATGTAAGTATCAATAAAAATAAATATAAAAATCATGATAATATCAATACATACAAAGAAAGCAATTAAAAAGTCTTGGCACCCATTTATGATAAAAACTCTAAATATGAAGGAGCCTACCTCAGCAATTTCAAGGGCATATATCACAAACAAACTGCCAATATAATACTCAAGGTTAAAAAACTGAAACCTTTTCCTTTAATATTGGGCACAAAGCAAGGATGTCTGTTGTCACCAATTTGGTTTGACTTGGTACTAATGGCTTTGGCCAGAGCTATGAGACGATCATAGGAAATAAAGAAAATGCAAGGCAAAAAAGAAGTGAAAGTATTGGCAGATGATATAAAAGAGGTCGTAAAATAAACAAACTAAAATCTATAGTGTGTGTGTGTGTGTGTGTGTGTATACACATACACACACACACACACATATAATGAACGTGAAGAAAAAGAAGGTAAGATTATAACTTTAAACGTACTTATTTCAAAAACAACTATACAACTATACATACCTTGGAATCAGCCTCATTAAGGAAGTAAAAGACCTATCCAATGAGAACTATAGGTGATAAAGGACTTGGTGACATAAGGAAATGGAAGACTATTCCATGCTTGTAGATGGCGAGAATCAGTGTAATTAAAATGATTTTCCTACCTAAACTTTATACAGATTTAATGCAGTCCCCACTCAAGTTGTAGCAATATTTTTCAAATAACAAAATATATTGAAATTTATGTGTAACCACAAAAGGCCTTGAATTGCAAATACAACCTTAAGAAAAAAGAAGGGAAATAGAGGTGTAATATTACCTGATTTCAAACTTAACTATAAAGCAACAGTATTAAAAACAATATGACTTTGGAGCAAAATTGGATACATGGATCAATAGAACAGAATTTAAAGCTCATAAATTTGCTTATATACTAGTACTAATTTATGATAAAGCAGCTATTACCATAAAGCAGGAGAAAGACAGTCTTTAGTAAATGATGCTGGGAAAATTAGAAGGCTGAACATGAAAGAATGAAGCTGGGTTGCTCAGTAATTCCATACACAAAATAAACTCCAAATGGATTAAAGATTTAAGATCTGTAACAATAGAAGAAACCATTGTTGATATGTTCCATGATATCAACAGTAAAGATATATTTGGTGAGTCAGTCCCTATGGCAAGGGAGCCAACTACAAAAATAGACTATTGAGTTTACTTCAAGTTAAAAATCTATAGAGAGAAAGAAATTGGGAGATGACTAAATAGACACCCTAATGAATGGGATGAAATATTTTCACAATATATAACTGATAAGGAATATCTAAAATATATTTAAAATCCTCATCCTATTCAACAACAAAGAAACAACCCAATTATTAAATGGGCAACAGAATGAAAAGAAAGTCTCTAAAGTGGGTATCAAGAGAGCCAAAGGAGATATTAAATATTTTTTTAACTCTTGCTTCCCTTAAGAGAGATGTTGCTTAAAACTACAATGATATACCACCTCCTATCTTTGAGAATGGCATATAATAAAAAGATCCTTAACAAGTTTTGGGAAGTACATGGAGAAAAAGGAACATCATAACATTTTGTGGATAGGAATATAAATTGGTGCAAATGTTAGGGAAAGCAATCTGAAGATTTACCTTGAAAGAATTATACACCCCAGCAATCCCACTCTTAGGCATCTAGTCAAAGTATATGAAACCATCAACACAAATATCCATAAATTACACAATGTTCATAGCAACATATTTATAATAGCTAGGACATGGGTGCATCCTAAGTGTCTGTCAGTGGACAATTAGATTAAGAGAATGTGGCATGTCCATACCATGGAGTATTATATAACCATAGGAAAGGAATGAAATGTAGCAATTTTCAATAAAATAAAGAATTTTAGAGAATTATGTGCAGCAAAGTAAGTCAGAACAGTAAAAACAAATACTGGGCATCTACAGAGCTGCAAATTCAATAACATGAAACAATTTTTCAAACCGGTGGACATGAGTAAATATACTGAAGGCTTTTTCTCTCACCTCAGAGCAGTGAGGGAAAGGAGCAGAGGGACACAAGGGATGATGCTGGGAAAAAATATTGTGATATATCTGCTCTGTAGTTTATCATACTCGCTTGGATTCAGGTGACATGTAAACTTCCCTGGACTCAGGAGATTAGACTGAGTGACTTCTTAAGGTTATTTTTGGCCTAGTGCTTAATGAATTACATAGGACTTGGAGAATTTCAAAAGCATGATCAACTCTCTTGTATACATTAATATGGCAAATATTAATGATCTGTCAGCTTGTCTAAATTAGATTCCTCACTTTGCCAGTAAATTAAAAGTGACTTTAAAAGTTAAATTTATTCATTCTTGGTACAAGCCCTCAAGAATTTCAAATGTAGAGAGAAAAGCACCTCAGCAACAGTGGAGCCGGGGCAATGTTACAGACGGAAAAGTTCCTCATATAAGGATGGACGATGCAGCTGCTATTCGGGTATGTAGAAACATTCTGCAGCTACTAGAAACTTTCAGATTTCTTTTAACTTAATGGTTCATGCAAAAATGACTTAAAAATAAGTCCCTAAAAGGGAAAGAAAGGAAGAAATTTATCATTTTCAAGTATGTCAGATTCTTCACTAAAGAAAATGCAGACTAATTATTTTTTCTGTTCATAGAGGACTTAAAAGTATTTTAATTAAAATGGAGCACATTTTTATAGAGAAAATGAGAAAATTTTGGCCTCTAGGTCTTTCCTGTTGCTGTAGACAATTGTGAAGTCTTTGTGGAGACCTCTTCAAGAGCGGAGAGAAGAGCAGATAACCTAGGATGGTCTGGCCTTCACTTCCCTGAGACCAAAATTCCTTCATGAACACATTCATTTTTTTCCTAGCCTGTGGTTGGGTTAATAGGAATACTATTTTTCTCAGGGGTTTACATTCAAATATGAGTTAAGTATTAGTAGCATTTTAGAAATTGGAATGTGTTCCTTTAACATTAGATTTAAGGAATCATATGAACAGCTCCAAGAATAATTAATGTTAAAAAAAACTTCAAAAAACTGTTTCAAGAGATATTTGACAGTTTATTTGAAGTGATCAGAAATACTACCTGTGAGATTATGACTTGAAAAGCTTAAACATGCCCCTTTAAATAAAAGGTCTATGTTTAAAAAAAAAAATCACTGAGATTTATACTTAGCCATGAGAGTTTTTATAAAAATAAAATGTGTTGGTTGTAGAAAATTAGGAAAACAAAAAGTGAAGAATATAAAAACCATGAGTCAGATATAACCAATTTTAGCATTTATTACCTTTACTTCATTTTTATGCATATGCCTTATCCTATTTTTTCTTTTCCTTTATAGTGGAAAAAGGTTTTCCCTATTTTAAGTTGTGAAAACTTGGTAAACAAGAAAGCAGTTCATTGCTGATATGTGTTGATTTTATAGCACTGAAACTTGGGATTATGTTTGGGGTGAATGTACTTTTGTTACAGGGCAGGGAGAGAAGGATACCCCTGAACCCCCAAACCTGTCTGTTCTAAATAGGTTCTGCCATCTGCCACATCAAAGACAGAACATCTAAGACCTTTAATAGAAAAGAACTATAATACAATAGTGTGCAATACAGAAAAGACAGAGAATATAGTTTCTAAATCAAACACCCAAAGTTACCCATCCCCTCGTGGATAAAAGTCTACCCAAAAGGGATTCGCCCCAAGCAAGGCCTGAAAGCCAGCCACAAGTCTAAAGCACCTTCTGATGGGGACCCTTAGAAAAGGGTCCAAAATGGCCAGACAAGTCTGGGAGGAAAAGAGCAAAATCAAAATTAAGATAAATGCTGCCATAGTGAACCTCCCCACAGGTCTCTCACCCACATCTGTTTCACCCAGTCCAGGGCCAGGAAACAAGAGCCGCTTCTTCACATGTCTCTTCATGCACCTCCCTCAGGTCTCTTTCTGACTCTCCATCCTGCTTCCTTCCTCCTCAGTCTCCTCTCCAGATTTTCTCCTCCCTGCTCAGCTCCACCCTCCTTCTGGATAGGGCAGGATACTTGGGAACCCTCCCCCCTTTTCCTGGGGACCTCCCTGTAACAGTTTGACCACACATGTATTGTCATGCCTTTCCTCCTTTGTCTTATGAAGGTCTTTTATTAATATTGTAGTTTGTATTGTGAAGTTTTATCTTTTTGAGCTCTTCCACATTTCCCAATCAGGATTTTAAGGCTTCCCTCCAAAGGACATTAAATTAAGCATTCATCAAAACTTTTTTTTTAACTAAATTAAGACTTTATTAACCTTGAAGTAAATATGTAGTGTCTTCTGTATGACTTTACCTGGAATAGAATCTTTCTTCCCTTTGGTAGCTATTTCAGCACTAGGTGTTCATTTATTTTAGTTGTTAAGTTTTATTTGATAATAATTTATTTTTTTAATTGTGTTAACATTAGGATTCCCCCCCCCACACACACACTAATAATTTTAATACTGATGAATGGCAGAGAAAGTAATTGTCATTTCTTATTCAGGATATCTATACCTTTGGAAGAATATTGGGACAAGGGAGCTTTGGAATGGTCATTGAAGCTACAGACAAGGAAACAAAAACTAAGTGGGCAATTAAAAAAGTGAACAAAGAGAAGGTGAGGCTTATTGGCACATCACACTGTGGCAATCGCAGTGCCACTGGGGAAGGCCGTGCAGTATTCCCCGGTGACACAGCTGCCTCTTCTCCAGGGCCAGAGCCTGGGCCTGAGCCCCTGCAGGGGCGGGGTCATTTCTCTAGCCTTCTAGGAAGGGATCTGTTCTGAACTCAAATAGACAAGTGTTTCTGGAAAAAGCACGTGAAAGGATTAACTCACATGACCAGTATACCAAAGGGCTTGGTGTCAGTGTGTGCAGATGTGAGGTTGAGGCCTAGTGGAGTCTCAGGTAGAAGTAAGCCGAGGTGCTCTGTGCTGATGCGGTTCTCCTGTCCTCTTATTCCCTTTTTCTTTGTTGTTAGTTAATGCTCTCTCTATGTATCCTACCTGCTCTTTAATTTGACCATTTTCCTCACACTACCTACTATCCCGTTCACTTATGTCCACTGCATTCCTCACTGGACTTTTCCTGCATCGAGGAATTCTCTTTGAGAGTCTAAATCCTCAGACTTTACTCCAACTTTTAGAAAAATTCTGTGTGTGGGG